GGTAATTGGTTGTGCAAGGGACTTCAGAGACCAACGACACGATTGGGATGACCCAGGAGCACTGATATAACACACCGGAGGGGGTGGACCGCCATTTAGCAAGCACCCCTCCTCGACAGCAGCACGAACTCCATATCAAAAGGGTGGCATAGGGGAAACCGAATATAAACGGAGGATGTGCGCGGGTCGATCAACGAAAAAGCCACGACAAAGATTATTGAAAGACGACGGAGTGTAAGGAGAACGAGAGAATGATAACTACTCGCTGGTATGGTAGATTTCGTTCATAATAAACAACTTGCTAAATTTAAGTAGGTAGATTTTTCGACAATTTGCCAAGAAGTCAAGTTTTGCAAGTAGTTTTGTTATTACTAATACGTACCTTAAGGAAGCCCAAAGATTAACCCCTACAAAAGTAATTGTTTCACTTTCTTCCGCATAGAGAAGATGGGAAATCTTTGTTCATGCTGGCTTCAATGCTCAAATGGGTGTTGTCTTCGCTTTCATGAGAGATTGAGTGTCATATTTAATAAGAATCTAACTCGAAGGAAGTTTAATTATCCACAAATTTACTCTTTGAGATACTCTAAGAAAATAGGCATGTTACTAATCTGTTATTGTTGTCAGAGGTTTTATTTTAGATTCGGATTTAACATATGGTAACGCTTACATTTGGCAGAAATTTGAATCTGGCCTTGAGTCCACGATGTCTTTTAATGTGTACGCTGCCAGGGGCAGCATTTTGTGGTAGGGTTATGAGGGCCAATAGTCAAGAGAGCTTCCTTATCAGTTAATATTACGGTAATGAGGGATTGAGTTTGTCTGTTTTGCTTTTCTATGAGACGGTTTAATCAGTATAGTGTCTTTCCTAAGGAATATTTTATGCTTTTTATAGAATGCATAGTCCCGCTTCCTATCCTATAGCCAAGGTGATATTTTGTTTCATGTAGCCCTTTTCTTTCATTTTGATAACTGTGGAAGAATGCATTGCAATTCTAGTGAACTATATTATGGTGAAGTGAGATTCCCAATAATAAGCCTGCTGGATCGCAACTGTGCCATGATACACGGTATTTTGTACGTCTACGCAGACGACGTATATTATATTGGAGTAGCTTAACCCGTCTTTAGAGCACACAGGCAGTGCGCGAAGTAGTTGTAGGCCTGTGCGCTACGTCAGGCATCTGGTAGTTTAGTTGTTTTTCCAGCAGCGCAGATACTTCCCTCACAAAGGAATGGTTCGCCTGAGGGGTCCTTTTAGCGCCTGAGTGTTCGTAGGTTTAGAAACCTCTCTTTGAAATATTATCGCCTTATGCATCGACAAACGAACTCAGGACACTACATATCCTCAGAAAATTTGTTTTAAGCCGTATTTTATCTCTGTTTAGTGAATTTATTCATCGAAACAGTTAGTTTACGCCTGCCTTAAGAAGCGGCTACCAGAGCTGTCTTTTCGAAAGATGGGTTTCCTATTACCTAGGAGTGTATGTCTCTGCGATAATCTGACAATTGCACGAGGTAATATAGAAATGGGCATTTTTATTTGGTCCGATGACGATTTCGTGCCGCAATTTCAAAGATTACTGAGCATGACCCGTTTTTATTAAGGAAGATTCTCTTCCTTCGGTGAGTGCATATTCTGAGTTCTGACGCCCGTTAAGGCAAAGTTCTCTCCTAAAAGCAACGACTTCATCTCTGGGAGCCAATGGCTTGCGGTATTTTAAACGTGTCCATCTATTCTTCTGCCTTGGTTAAACACAGAGTCACTTTTTTAAATTTTACATAAGGATGATAGTAAAACAGCAAAGTGTCCTGCGTTTTTTCTAAGAGCACATATACTTTTCAATTTAGACCGTGAAAAACACGAGCGTCGTATTGCCTCTTTTCACTTTGGCAGCGCTACGGACCTAAGACACTTGCTCTCGACGAAGGACCTTATACCCACGTTAGAGTTTAAAGATGCCAATTGTCTTTCGTGTTGACGTCATTTTACTATGGTTCCTCTGGTGTGCTGTTGGAACGGGCTGTGTCATCTTCAACAAATCTCTACTTTTGATATTTCCGCATCCACTGACGTCCAGCTTTGGCCAATTGTTACATACCTTTACACTTTCGTGGATTTCATTGCGTTTTATTGGAGAAAAAAAGGAGTTTAAATTTAACCGTTCTCACTACATTCTTCTGTTATCTCTCGGCTTAACCAACGTATTGTCGATCGGATGCATGCATCTTAGTGTACATTTGCTCTCTGCTGCGTATGCTCACATGGGTAAGTAATGCCATCAATCCCGGATTATGTATTTCTTTCAAAGTGAAGTCAACCATGCCGGTATTCGTGGTCCTGTACTCGTTTGTCCTTGGACAGAAATTTCCTTGCAAGGTAAGTGCCGTTTCTTGGTGTTTCTTGTAACAATAAAAGTGTCTCATAAATATATTATTATATTTTATCCTGGGACCACTTTTTCTGCAAATGTAATCAAATGCAAGCTTTTGCCAACGCTTTTTTAATGCCTTTCGTTCCTACGTTCTTTCCTCTTTCAAACAGATTTGCAGGCTTAACTTTTTAAAGTGAATGTTTATGACATTGTTTATTGTATAACCAAAATGGAATATGCTTGTGCAACTTGAATGGGCTACTTAAAACATTGATTTCGCTTGAGGAGAGCTGTCTGTGCATTTACCCTGAAAGGACGAACAAGTGCGTCGATTGAGAAGGCGTGATGCGTCCCTACTTAACAGACGTCCTAATCTTCCCGTTCACCCTTCCAATTGACTGTTACGTCGACTGCGGAGGCCTTCTGGTTACAGCGTCTATTTTTTCTGGTAGATCATGTTGGTAGCAAAGCGTTCACTAGTTACGTGGAAAGTTATTTTAACTTCAAACCAAGCTAGTTAAAAATTTTAAGTGCATAAACAGTTACGGAATTTAATGTGTCGCGCTCGCTAAGCCCAATATTATCTTTCATATACGGCATTCTGGTATTATCTGGCCAAGCCACGTGAGAGGGAGGATGACGAAAACGCAAAATGAAGCCAGAATTGGACGGCTATATCCGACGGATTGCAAGCATGTCTCCACCCTAGACACAGGCTGACATATCGTTGCTTCTAGTGCTTGCATTTGCTACAGCTTTAATTTAGTCCTGATCAAACCAGCTTCGTTATCACATACTGTGCCG